TTCCGAAAATCTCATGCTCCTACAGGTCCTACAGGTCCTACAGTCTGCCAAGTGGTCAAACGTTCCTTTCACTTGCATGTGTTGTGGTGTAGCTTTGCTCTGGTCCAGTGGGGCATGCAAAGCACATCTGGCCAATGCTCAGCCGGCACAATTGTCTTGCCTTGGCCGAGTCCATGTCGATGCAACCTGCGTGGTCAAATGGTTTGCACTGAAGAGGCGATGAATGACTTGAATGTCGGTATGGTTCAAATAGGAATCGGATACATCCCAACTGTCAAAGAAGACCATCCCAGTTGGGCAAATGAACAAAACGGCTGAATCTTGTCAAAAGAAAACTATCCCACTTGGACTGTTCAAAGAGATCCTAGTTGAGCGATGAAAGGAGATGACTCCATCAGATGCTCGCACGCATGCCTCTCATCAAGCGATCCTTCGGCACCGGCGCAGTCTTTCGCTCCGTCCTCTGCGACCCAAAAAGCGGACCTGGAAGCTGGGCGTCTCCCTTGGGCGTCTTCACCTGGAGCGAGCGAGCGGAGCGATCGGAGCGATCGGAGCGATCAGCGCGCGCTGGCGCGCGTGCGATGGCGCGCGTGGTGTGATTTTGGAGCCCTGGAGCTTGACCTATCTGGGAAAAGGAAAACGAACATGGAAAAACCATGGTATCCTGTTGGCATCACCCGCAGCCATGTATCCATCGAACCATGAGATTTCATGGGGACGAAACGCACATCTTTGAACGATACTGAATTCTGAGATGATAGGCGGCAGAGTGCGGCAAGTGCTCCTTTTGAGGGTGGCTCAACTATGATCTTTGTGGGGTTCTCAGGGTAGGATACTCATGAGGGAAGGAGGACAATTTGTTCAACGTGTTAAACGCAGGCCTTAAAGCCACGACGCAGGTTCAACAAACACCTTGAGACTTCTTTCAACGGTCTTCGCATGGCCTTTGCCCACCGACCACACAAACAACCAATCAAAGCCAAAGCCTTTGGTGCCTCTAAAGGAGGCGCGGCCACGGAAGCAAGGCCGTCTGACACAGCCGGAAGCTTACATGGATTGCCGCCGGAGGGTCCTGGTGCGATGGCAACAGAGGGAGTGTAATCCTCTTTCTTCTCTGAAGCATCCTGGCGCAGAGCTAACTGTTGCACCTGTGCCATCATAGCATTAATCTGCTCCATCAAAACTGCATTGGTCACTCGCTTCGGAACGGCTGACGCTTTCGGAGGAGGTGGTGGTTTCTTGGAGGCAGCACCCGGGTCTTCTTGAGCCGAGTAAAAAGCCGTCACATCATCTGTACAATTTGCAAGCCAGCTCTTTGCCATTGTCAAAAGGGAATTGACCTGAGGAATGCAAGCAACGTGATCACCATGGTAGGGAAAAATCTCATGGTCCGAATCCGTCACTGGGTCATACTGCCTGGCAAAGAACAAAATCTCATCGGAAACGTCTATGACCATCACCGGGCCACTCATACCAAGCGACACAGGATCCCCTGTGTCGTCCTCCTCTGCAAAAGGCACTGTCAAAATGGTGCCTGCTCCCAACCAACTCGGCGCCAACTTCACTTCGGAGCGCAGCATTGATACAAGGGTGGAGTATCAATGCCTATAGGATGCACAGAACACCTGAATCTCGGTCAGGGATTCAAAGCCCTGATGCACCGCAAGCAACTGCAGTGCAGGGACCTGGGAAGCGAGCAGCTGCCTCAGATCTGAAAGCTTGCGAACTCGGATGGGTCCGAACACCCGTGAGTGGTTGACAATGATCCACTGTGTATCCGACCAAGAAATCCCCTCAGCACGACGGTCTTCGGTGTGGGTCGCAACAGCTGCCCAGGCCCAGAAAACAGCACGCCAAGCCCTGAGCACCCGGTCTTTCGGATGGTCAGCAACCGTAGACAGCTTGCCTGCCGCGAGGACAAGGAGATCCTCAGGCACCGGCTGCGGCCCGTCCTCAAAAATTATCCGACTCTCCAACTCCACATGCTCAGATGGAGGTTCAACCAGCTCCCAACCAGCAATCGAAATGGTAGCCGATAAAGACCGTGAAGAAGATCCAGAAGCTGCAACACTCTCTAAGACTATGCTCAAACGGTTCAAAGCTCTCACCAACTGGTCAACGTCAGCTTTGGAAACAGGCTGGCTCATCAACTATTCCTGATAAGCAGCAAGCCGAGCATGCCGAGAGATGGCGGAGGTGGCTGGAGGAGCGGGAGCAGGAGGAGCCTGTTGCCAGGCAGGAGGATAGCAAGGAAAAGATATGCCACCAGGTCACGAAGCCAAGAAGAAATCCAAAAGAGATCCAGGCAAGCAGGACTGGGAGCAATGCAAGGGGGACGCACGACTGGACAAGTCAAACACGACAGCAACCGCATGACTACCATGCCCTGGAGACTCACCATGCCCTTGAGAGTGAAGTGCCCACCAAATGTCAGCTTTAGTCTGTCATACCCTAGGCTTCCAACCACCATTAATATTTTACACTACAAAAACCAGGTCAACCATTTGTTAACTGGTCTTGGATACTAGGGATGTCTAGGGTATGTATACAAAAAAAAACATACATATGAATTATAGACATTAGGTTCAATATGGTTCAATCTTGATATCATATCTGCTTCTTCCAAGACGACCTGTACCAAAGAGTCTCTGGTGGCTTCCCTATATTTGCCACAATTGCAGGAAGTCCTAAAGTCCCTATTTCTCATCCTTGTTCAGACCCCTTCATGGATCGCAAGCCCTTGGCGCACCTCATTCAGAGGCCTTCCAACCTGAGAAACTGAGCAATGAAACTATCCAACCAAAGGTGCAGACAGGTAGACGTTCCATCAATAGAAGGTTTTACAATCCAAACGCCTCCCGGCCTCCCCCAATGAAACGTCTACATTACAAATGTAACTGCTTATCACCTAAGATTCACCTCAAAGAACATAAATACATGCACCAATGCACCTCCAGTCTGTCTCCCACATGTTTTTCTCTTGAGTCACTCATCACTCATAGACAAAACCAAAAAGAAGTTTCGGAGGCTCCAAGCAGCTAGGATCCAGCGCGAAACAACCAAGCAGGAGTGAGCTTCTCCCGAAAACGTCCGAAATCAGAAGAAGTTTGGGAGCCTTTTCGGCGAAAAGGACACATGCTGTGCCACAGAGAACCACACAGAATGTCAGATCTTAAGACACTCCATTCACACCCCTTCAACCTCTACGGGCTCCCCAACATGTCCTTCCCAAATTGATCACCTCGATCTCCCACGGATTCTTCCCACCGATTCTTCCCCCACCTCCAGCGCTCCAGTCGCTCCCATGCTCTCACCACGCTCATCACCGCTCCAGTCACCGGGGCTCCCGGGCATGGCGGCGGCGGCGTACGAACATCTGATGCTGGAAGGTATTCCTGGAGACTTCGGAAGACATCGGCGCACTGAGCCGGGCAGGATCGGCCCAGCGGTGTGGCGCTTCGCGGCGCTTCGCGGCGCTTCGCTCGCCCCTTGGCCGGAGGTGCCCCCAGAAACAATCATGAAAACCTGGAGCCCGACCAGTCCACCATGTATTGACCTTCTTATATATCTAGGTAGGGGAAAAACCTAGGTATCCGGGTGCCATGATCCACAGGCCCCATGAGGTTGCAACATGAGCTTGAAAACAATGACGGCACCTGCTCACGCAGCGCGACCACATCCACGTCCTTCTAGGCCCGTCGCTCGGCTGTCGCTCGTCCTCCACACGGCACCGCGCCCGAAGTGCCGCGCGTAGCGCCAGCCGTCGGCGTCGGTGAATCCATTCACCTGGAGCGGTTGCTCGGCCAACCCGTCGGCCTCGGCCGACGGGCCGAGCGCGTTCCAAAAGGTTGGCTCAAACGGCTGGTCAGACCAGCCAAAAGGTGGGTGCATAGCTCCGGCTGGATCTGGAAGGCTTGATCTGCCTACTAAGCAAAGCAAGTCTGAGTCTCACGGAACGGAGAAACCCTTTTTTTCAGAAAGCACTTCTGACTTCAAGGTCTGATGGGGCTCTCCAACAGGCCTTTGGAGAGGTACCGACCATCCGAAGAGGGTCGAAACCGAAAGGACCGGATCGACGGGGGTCTGACGTCTACGTCATCGTCCGTGGACTCGGGACGAAGACGAAAGGACGAAGGATCTGCGGAAGGAAGGATCCTCAACACCTGGACTGGATCTGCGCACCTGAAGGCGTCGTCTGCACTTTCCGCAGGACGCACGTTCAATCGAAAAGGCGGAAAAAAGGCGGAAAAGGGCGGAAAAAGGCGTCGTCTTTTTGCTTTCGACTTCTAACGGGAAACCTTCGCTGGACACCTTGTTTGTGTCGGAATCTGCGGTCAGATCTTGAACTCTTCAAGCCATCCACTTATCGACTCTTCGTTCTTCTTACGGAGGAGACCACTCCTGGGATCAATAGTGAATCTGAAACGGTTGAAAACGGTGGGCAGCTCTTCAAGGACCAGTGACACACATTCCTGACGAAGTGCGCAAGACCCCGTGGGACCACGGATTTGTCTTTGTACATGAAGCCACTCTTGCGTTTCAAGAGGGATTGAAATCATGTCGTTCATGTCCAGCTGCATCAAATCTGCCGGGTTCACCCAGCTTGGCCACTGGACACAGGTATGTAGAGGAAATCGATTTCGGAGAGGAACAGTCTCAAAGCTTTGGAAACATGGGATGCTTGATTGTATACTCTCCACTTTTAACCTTGGATTATATAACCTTGGCATACCTCATCAAAGACTGCACGTCGCCGTGCAATCAAGCACTTCGGCAGTTCCTCTCTTTGCACGGAGGTGGATTTGGGCGAGGCAGCACTCACAAAGAGCGAAGGGGTGGCCAAACATGCATCCTCCCCTCGTTTTGGACTGAAGGCGGATGGCACCATTTCAACAAAATGAGGCCAAACCGCCCAAGACTGAGCAGGAAGGAGAGTGTCATCTCATAGCAACAACATGCCAGTCAGTATGAGCCAAAATATGCTCAAGAAAAACGTGCATGTGAACGTGTGATGTCTCCTTCACCACCCATGATTCTTGGAGAAGCCAGACTTTGCCATCTGCACGTTCATTTCAGCTCAGTGCGTGTCCAGCCATCTGCAGGGCAGAATGCCAAGCTGTTGGGTGCATCCCAACTAAACACACAAGCTGATCCACAGGTCGAGAAAAAGAAAACCCTCCAGCTCCGTGGACCGCGCCTCGGTCCGAGCGCCCGGAGCTTCTCAGCTCTGGTCCTCCTTCAAGGGAGTCTCACCCGCAAAGGCCACGAACGCCAGGGCGCCCACGACCTCCAAGGGCGGACTGACTGGCACGGGGACTGGTGGGGTCACGTCTAAGGCAGGGGCTCGACCAACATGTGTTTTTGGTCCATCGAAAGCCCAGCCACATAATGGAGCGTAATCACGGAAAAGACCACCTCCCAGGAGCCGGTGCGATCCAGCAGGAAGCCTGGCGGCTCGAAGCACGGCTCGAAGCGCGGCTCGTTCAGCACGGCGTTCAGCACGGCTCGAAGCAGAGCACCGTGCCCCTCCGACCGACCAAGAGCTGTGGTGGTCCACGTGGCTCCCAGGAAGGTAATGGAAGATGGGTGAAAATCGCAGCGAAACCTACCAGTGGGTTACGAGTGGTGGGGTGGAAGTTCAAGAGCTACATGATCTGGGACCATCTCGAAGACTCAGGAAAAGCTGCACTTATAACGAGAAAAATGGCCTGCCAGGTGCTGTACCCATCAGATCTCGATTCGATGAATGAACCTGAGAGAAATACCTCACACTATCCCCTAAGACGGGTGGAATTCAAGCTCTTACAGGAAAGGTGCTCCAAGATTGCAAAGTAGGACTCTTGACTTTTCCCCACCTGCCCCACTCTTCTTCTGCATTTCCTGAAGGCCTCTTCAGGCCACTTCTCCACCCCAATCCCTGTGCTCCTGTCAAAGGGGTCGAGACCAGCCCGGCCAGCGTCGCAAAGGTGTTGCCTCAAAAGGAACTCTGCTTTGAGCTTATGGTTCACTCATGCTGATCACATAGAGCTAACATCTGCTGGTTCTTATATGCTGCTATGGCTGCTCTCATCTATATATATATATATATATATATATATATGCACGCAATGGACCAGTCCCAACCGTCCCAACAAACCCCGAAGCCAACAGGTCGAGGGTCACTTGACCCCAACCAACCCCACCCCACCCCCGGTTTCACCCCCGTCACATCCGCTGCTCCGGCACCGAGGCCAAAGATGGCGCCCGCATGGCGTGGGGCGACGTCCAGGTGGTTCACACTCACCTGAGGTTACCATCTCCAGGCGAAAAGAACGAGGAGACATGCATGGGTCTGGGTCTGGGTCTGGGTCTGTGGGGGTCACTGACATCGGGTGCACGGCCTTTGGCAGCAAGTCCAGTTCTACTCCCAGGTCACCGTCCCCCCTGTCCGCCAAGTCGCGGCTCCTAAGGTTAGGGCGTTGGCGGCCAGTCCCAGGTCCACTAGCAGCCCTGCGGTGGAAGGGTCCTAAAAAAAAAGAATAGACCATGGCACAAAGGGACTGGGGTGACTGGGGTGACTGGACACTAGAACCACTCCAAAAAACGCCTGGGCTGTTAATGGCCCAAAGTACTGGTTCTGTGAAGGAATATCCACTTCAAAGGCTCAAAATGAATGCCAAAAGAAAACACATAAAACCACAAAAAGCCCCGCCATGTTTTTTTTGCAATGGGTTTTTTCGGGCGGCCCGACAGTCCTTTGTCATCGGAGAAGCTGCCACCAGCAGAGCTACAGCAGGAACCAGCATTCCCACCTCGGAATTCTTCCGAAATGCAATGGCAGATTCGCCGACCCAAAGAACTCCAGCACCAGTAGAATCTCTTTTCTTCACCAACTCAAGAAAACAAAAGGACCAAGGCCTTTTGGCCCTTTTTGGCAGCTAAGCGCTCCCTTGTTGGATTCCGACCTTCCACCGCTTTGGTCACGGGTCGTTTCGGCCGGGCGGCGGTCTGCAAGGTCTTCCGCACGAGGCCCACGGAGAGGCCCTGCGCCAGCGCGCGGTCGGCAGCGGCGCCCACGGCCAAGCCCACCAGAGCCTGGTCGAGGCGAGAAAGATCACATCCACAATCCAGCTTCTTCAAAGTGACCTTTTTGGAGTCTCTAAGTGACCTTTTACAGGCCTGTTTGTCACCTTTTACAGCCCAGGGATGAAAAGGTCACTTTGAAGAACCAGGATGACACCTTTTGTTGTCGGTATTTCATTGGTTTCTGGAGTCTATATTTGGGGGCGAACGCACGGAAATCGCATCGAAAACGGCAAAGTGCCATAGCAACCAGCCTGCAAGACGTAGGGCACTGTGGTCAGAGCAGGCCTGGGAATTGAAACAGCTTGTGTTTGGTGCAGAGGGAGGTCGCTCCATGTCTCCATGTCCAAAGGGTGGTCTGTTTCAGTGCCAGAGAGCATGCCCGGTCTTGCTCGGGAAGAAAGGCTTTGACGGTTGCAAACTGTTCAACACCAAACACAAGTATGCAGGATGCAAGTGCCTATGGCCGGGTTGACGAGGAGATGTTTCTTTAGGTTTGTAGCTATGATTCTATCCACTTCGGGGGAGTTCGGAACCTCATCTCAACTTCATCTGGGAGCAGCTGCCAATCTGCCCGGCAGATTCAAAAAGCCCAGTCAGACCACGATGGACCTACCCACCCACCACAGTGGCAGCCCGGAGGGGCAGCTCAGGACCCAAGGCGCAGCTCCGACAAGGAGATACCGTATTGCTCAGAGAAGAAGGTCGGAAGCCAGCTGAGGAGTCCATAGAGCCCAAAGCCATTGGTGTACCTGGCGGGAAGTCTCTTTTTTTGTGGGGGACTCGTGGGTTTTCCCTAAAAAGAAACGATATGATATAGATTAATAGATTAAACTATATATGATGATATAGATGTTTTAATGATTTATACGGACAATATGGCATTGGCATTGGTGTAAGGAGCACTTCACCAGAGAACGGCTTTTCTCTTTCAGAAGCCAAAGGTGTGGGAAAGCGCAAACTCAGCGCACTGAGCCGCGCAAATGGCCAGCACTTCAGGCGTCTTCATCAGCGGTAGGAGCTCCTGCTTCGAAGTGCCGTAGGGACCAGAAGTGCCGCACTGGAAGAGCTGTTCTTTTCCGGGATTTTTCGGAGAAGCTTGTCGTTTCTGTCCGGAGATGATGGAGTTGTTCACCTAACGGTGTTGGGGTGACTCCAACACATCTTTAGCATTCGACACGAGCTTCGTTTCTGGATTTCAGGGGTAGTGACTCCTGTGTTTGAAGGGGTGACCGAGGCGGAAGAGAAGTACCCCAAACAGTCAGTTGGGTGGTCCCTACAGTGAACGGACTTGAGATCGTCCTTGTTGCCTCATTCTTTAGGTCTGCAATGATCTGCAATGATCTGCAAATGGTCTGCTTCCCAAGAAGCCCCTCCATGCAAACGTACCCAAGCAGCTCCTCCAACGTGTCTCCAAAGCTTTTCTGGAGCTTCGAGGGGGACCAATCCGCCGTGGCTCCGGAGGACCTGTGGAGCCACGAAGTCTCTGGTACAGAAGAAAGGTGTGCACCCCAACCTACTAGCGATGGCCTCCACCCTAAGTAGTGATGCCCTCCAACCTAGTAGCAATGCCAGTGTGCTGTTTCAATGTGAAGTCCATTTGACACGTTTTGACCGTTTTCATCCCTGGTTCCTTTGCCCCTATTGACCCTATGGCACGCCGTGTGACCGATTTGACCCATGACTCAGGGGTTGACCGAGCGAAACCGGAGAGAAACCATTTGGCACCCCACCGGCAGTTCCACCGCGCTCCTCTTCCCCCACCTGCCACTTGGAACATCCTGCAGTAGCCAGGGCGGCAGCCAGAGAAGAGCAAGAGCACCAAAGCCAAAGAAGGACACCTGCTCGGCTGCTCCGGTCATCCGCACAGGTTCGTTCCTTTCACCCACCTTCTTCGACTCAGCAACCTCAACTCTTGCGAAAAACGTCGCCTGCCAACCATAGGCCTGTATGAGTCCCGGCACCAGCAGGAAAGCGAGCCTAAGAGCGAACATTCCACTCTCGGAGCGCAGAAAGGATTGACACTCTACACTTGTACATGTTTGAGGAAAAATCCCCACCCTGCCTCCTGAAATCAACTTACTCGGCTTTTGCATACCCTTCCTTATGCTGGAAGAGTGCCAAACAACATCACGAACTCCGAAGGCTTTACCCACACGGTTGGTGGTGGGCTTGTTGCAAACAATCAGATATGAGTTTTGTTAATAATTACACCACCGTAGACCCCAAACAGGTGGGACAACAACGAACCATTCCCAAGTCCACTTTTTGACACATCAACAAGAAGGGAGACAAGAAGGGAGACAAAAGGAAAAAGAAGGGAGACAAGACGGACAAAATGGTCAACAAGAAGGGAGACAAGAAGGGAGACAAAAGGAAACAGAAGGGAAACAAGATGGACACAATGACAAACAAGAAGGAAACAGAAGGAAGACAGAATTGAGACAAGGCGGACACAATGACCAACAAGAAGGGAAACAAGAAGGCCAGAAAGAAGCGAGACAAGACCGGAGACGAAGTGAGACAGAAGGAAGAAAAGGCGGACACAATGACCAAGAAGAAGGGAGACAAGAAGAGAGACAAGAAGGGAGACACAAGGAAACAGAAGGGAGACAAGACGGACACAGTGACCACCAAGAAGGGAGACAAGACCCGAGACAAAGGGGGACAGAAGGGAGACAAGGCGGCCACAATGACCAACAAGAAGGGGGACAAGAAGGGCGACAAAACGAAACAGAAGGGAGACAAGACGGACAAAATGGCCAACAAGAAGGGAAACAAGAAGAGATACAAAAGGAAACAGAAGGGAGACAAAGCGGACACAGTGACCAACAAGAAGGGAGACAAGAACGAAAACAAGAAGGGAGACAAAAGGAAACAGAAGGGAGACAAGGCCGACACAGTGACCCACAAGAAAGGACACAAAGGGAAACAGAGCTCTAAACGCACAGGCAGACAAGCGGGGAGACACTTCAACTTCAATGGGTGTCGAAACTGCAGTTTGGGACCTTGCGTGCAGACCTACGTGGCGAAGCTGCCGGAGACAAGTAAGGAGACAAGGTAGCAGCGCCAAGGGAAACGCCGATCACACAGTCAGACAAGTGCGGAGACCAATGGGGAGAGAAGTGGGAGGACAAGTAAGAGGACCAGTGCAGCAACGGCCAGCAAGGTCGCCGCCGATGAAAAGCCAGGACAGACCTGCAGCGGTGGAGTCGAGTCTCAAACGCCGATCGGCCACCCCCAGTCATTGAGAAGTTCGCTCTCCTGGAGTAAAACTAGTAGATGCCAGGAGCCCGTGCGTAGCATCCGAACGCTCCGTTCGTAGCGATGCCTGGAGCCCCGCTTTCAGCTCTAAATGACAAGGGGGGGGGATCGTTCAAGTTCCTCTATCAATCCTCTTCGTGCCCAGCGACCCTGCCCCTGCGTAGGAGGCGGCCGTGACCAGAGCCACAGCGGAGGATTGCCTTGGCTTGTGGAGGAGGTTGGAACATATGTGACCAGTCTGGCTCGAGAACAGCTGGTGACTCTGTAGACCAAAGCTTCGGAGTTGAACCCACAACCCCCATCCAACCTGAGGACCGAATAGGCCTATCCAAGCCCATGGCGGCAAGGAGAACTCAAGTAGCTGACGCCAACCGATCGTGAGAAGAAACTGCTTGGGCGATCTCAGCAGGGCGATCTCCGATCTCAGCGCTCAAAATTTTTGACATGTTACCCAAAGCACGAAGCCTAATCCCAGGTCTCCCATAGATCACCCTATTAGATCCAAATGCCGAGCCACTTTTCGCGGGGCACCAAGCGCCCAATGGCGCTGTGCACGGCTGGAAAGGCCACTCCTTCAGCTCTGAGGAGCTGTGAGGAGCGAAGGTAAACCATCGAAAGATTCAGGTGAGATTGAAATGATTGTTTGAAATCATTTGAGATCTAAGGAGCTAGGATGTCATATAAAAGTAAACCAGTTTCCTTTTTTGGTCCATGTGAGAACCACCTAATGACAAAAGAGCAGAACACGATGGCAGTGAGTCAACCTGGACCCTTACAGAAATCAGCGCCTGGTTACAAAGACCAAGCAATCGTTTCATACTCTTTCACTGTCCATGCTTCCGGAAAGGATGCGCTTGTGACCGGAAAAAATGCGCAAAAAAGATACCATGTTCAAACACTGGCGCCGCGCTGACCCCTCCGCCCCTCCGCCCGGTCCTTCGCCAAGTCCCAAGGCCAGACGGGTGGCCAAGAGCGGCAGAGCACCCCAGGCGGCAGCCAACGGGGTCAAAGCAGTGGCCAAGGACCAGCAGCTGAGTCCTGCCACAGCGTTCGTCGGAGTGGCTTCCTCTGCAGATGTCCCCGGGTGGTTCGAAAGAAGGACACAGCGGTTGTACGGGAGCCAGCACCGCAATCTCAGAAACCCATTGACGCTTGGACACAGAATGCGATGTTGATTTTTTTGTTGCCTTTGTATATTTGGGGGGGGCAAGTGCTGAAATAGGAACACATCGTCTCGAAATAGAAACTAATGGTGTATGTAAGTATGTATGGATATATATATATATGTATATATATATATTGATGACATGTAATATATTGTACTGTGATGGAATGGAACGCAATGTGACGAATGTATGGAATATATGGGTTGTATGTAATGTAATGTCATGTCACGTCACGTCACGTCAGGTCACGTCATCTAATGCATGTAGTGTATGTATCTCATGTCTGTCATGCATGTAAGGTATGCAATGTCAGGATTTTTGTATGTATGTATGAATGTACGTATGTATGTACGCATGGATGCATGCATGTATTAATGTAATGTCATGTAACGCAATGTACTGTAGTGTAATATATGTAATTGCGGACATTTTCTCAAGCATGAAAAAGGCCTCGAAAGTACACTTCTCGTTTGCGCGTGTCAGCTCATCACCCAGCTGGACCGTCAACGCGCGAATCTTGTTGGCCTCGAGGACAGTTCGAATGTACCCCTTCACAACCAAGCTTCGATTCTGAAACATTAGCGGCACTTCCACCTGCCCGTTTCTCAGGCATTCACCAACTCCATCAAGTGACCATCCAGCCTTCATCAGCCGCCCAATGGAAATGATGGGCTGGCTCACACCATCACTGAAAGTGACTCGTTCACGAAGGACAACCTTTCTGCCATCACTGCTGTCAAGGACAATGTCAATGTCCTTGTGTCCATAAGTCTGAATGCGCGTCCCTTGGGCATCCTGTACAGGAGATGAGGCTCCCATAGCCTGCTTGCCTTTGTGCATCATGCTGCCTGGAAACAACGAAGCATCTGCACCTGCGTCCACAATGATCACCATGGGCTCCTCATTCAAGCCATACTCCGACATCTCCTCTTCTTTAATCTCTGGCACTTTTCTCTCACAGTGTTCACCTTGAACACTTCCAACTGCTCATCTTCCTCTACGTCCATGTGAAAAAATCCACCTCTTTCTTGGCATCGTTCTGCTCCATCAAAACTCGAATTGAGCCGCTCTCCTCATCGCTATCATCACGAAGGTCAAAGAAGACTGTGAAACCGTTCGAATGGCCTTGCTTGTTTCTGTACCACACGTACTGCTGGTAGACGTCGTCGACAAAGAAGTAGTCGCTGGCTACTGACGCTTGCCGCTGGAGGTGCCTCCACTTGTCTCACCCTCCAATAGTCTTTGGAGTGGTGGCCCATCCTGCCACACGTCCAGCAAACATCACCTCCATTGCCTTTTCCTTTTCCAGGCTTTTGGTCTTTGCCTCCTTTGCCTTTTCCATCTTTCTGTCCACCTTTGAAGGAACTTGGAGTTCTCCCTTTTGACTTGCCTTTCTCATCTTTGCTCTTGCCCTTGCCCTTGAGGTCCTTTCCCTTGCCCTTGCCTTTGTCTTTACCCTTCTGCTGCAACCTGTCGATCTCCATCGGCATGACTCCTTTTGGATCTCCTGTTGATTGCATTGGGCTCGAACTTGTGAAGGTCAAAGCTGCCGACTCATTCCACTTCGTGGTTGCAGTGTCAAAAGCCAAAATGGCCTCTCGAATCTTCAGGTAGGAGCTGCCTTCATTGAGCGTCAGGTTCAATTGCACCTTCATCTGCCCAGTGACCGCTCGAAGAAGGACAGCGGACGTCATGTCCGAAGAGAGTTTACTGCCTCCCAACTTCTCGTACTGCAAGAAATGCTCTTCCAGCTTGAGGATCTGCGGCAAGAGGGATGCCTTCATGTTGACGGTCAGGTAGGACATGATCCCTACTTTTGCACTGGCGCAGCGCACCCTCTATTATCAAGATGCCATGTTATAGAGGAGGACATCGAGACACATGAAGCCCCTTCATTCCTCATCATACACCCATCATACACTGTTCATACACCTATCAAAACTCAACATAAACTCAACATGCGGCCTACAAAAAGCTTAGGCACAGATAAGTACAGCCCATTTCCTCCACCTAAGCCGCCTCTCATTCCGACCATACACCCACCATACACCCTTCATAACCCACGATAACTCAACATCAACTCAACATGCAGCCTGCAAAATGGCCAGGTGCGTCCCATTTCCTGCACCTAAGCCTCTTATTACCATCATGCACCCATCATACATGATAAATATCAATTTTTGATAAATAATAAGTGGATAATAAATAAACAACTGTTGATGGACAATATTGGTTAATAAATACTAATGGTTCAAAAATAGAAATATGTATATGAAGTATATATTTCACCTATATATTTATTTTTTATGCGACCTTCTCTTCGCCACAAAAGTACATCACTTGAACGATTGGCCATAAAACCATCAGAGCATGTGATGGCAGGATTGGTTCCGGAGACAACGTCACAACTTGACGCAACTCGGCTTGCGGGTCCCCGAAACATCACTCCATTTGGACAAAATCGTGGTCTCCTAATAGCGGGGGAGTGCCCCCCAATTCATCCCATGGCCATGAAATGCCATGAGGAACTGTGATTAAACCCATCAAAACCCATCACAACCCATCATTAATTCAATTGATTGAAAACCAATTGGTTTCAGTGGCTTACAAAATGGTCATGCGCCACCTCGAGATCCTGCGCAGGGTTGCTTTTTGCCGGACAGCATCTCTTCAGCATGTCACTGGCAGAGTCTTACTGGCAGAGCGCCCCAGTCCCAAACAGTGGTGGATGCACTTGGGTGTGATTGGTAAAGACCGATTCATTTCTACTTGGAACATAGTATGCAAATGTTCTGGGTATCATAATGGCCTCAACTGGCCTCAAGGTGTTTCCGCCTACACTGAACAAGAGTCGAAGCTGCCTCGCGTGTTGCGCGGCAAAATGGCCAGACAGCATCCCAGTCGCATGTCTTAGCTTGGCGAATGTTCCGCCGCATCCACTGGTCAACGCGCATTGATTGAAATGTGTTATGTTATGTGCATGCTAATGGTCATACATGTTGAATGTAGATACTTCAGTTCCATTCAGTAGCCATATGATAGCCATATAGTTTCTACATGTTTCATCAAGTTTCTACAAAAAGGCAAACCCCAACACGATCTTGGTCACGGGAAATGGGAATATGCTGGCCATTTTGTATGATGGGTCTTTGATGGGTTATAATGGGGCGCAAAAACCAGGTTTTGTAGCCTACGCTAATCAACTTCGATCATCTGACTCCTCACCAGCATCCCCATGGCCCTGCATTACACCACGTTACATGAAACTTTTCATCCTCGCGCTCACTCCACGTAAAATTTAATGTGGACGCACACTGTTCATGTGGATGATGGCGACTCCCTCATGCAATTCTGCGGGTTTGCGCGCGCAGCAGATGCAGGGTTTCCTGAGATGATCAAGCCGAGCGAAAACAAACCGGAAAAGCCACCTATAGGAAAAAACGTCAAGCAGCGTAACGTTTCGAACCTATTTGGCACCCCATGTATGCACACGCATGGGAACTGCTTGCCCACACGGAAAATGCTACCACATCTTCGCAGTCTCAGGTCCAGCCTTCCCGCGCGAACAGAAGGATCTGTCTGCCGTGGGCCTGGCTGTCTAGGGGCATGGTCGATAAGAACCAACAATTGAATTGCCGCTATGGAAACTGCAGAATAATGTTTGATCTTGATTAGTGTAGGGGGTCCCCCTTTTTTCAAAAAAATCAGCGCCCTGAATAACGCTACCTAGCCTGGGGGATTTTGAATTTCAAATTACGCATAGATTTTGACTGGCCCTGCTTCAGCAACAAGACATTTTGCATTTGTTTGCTCCCATCTTCAAGCTATGCATTGGTCTTAAAAAATATCAGCTGTTTCATCAAATATATTTTTTTGGCTGTCACGCGCGAGGCATGGATTGATGTAAAGCAATCTTAATTAAAAAACGCCTATATTTAGTAGAAAAACAAATAAGTTTGTTGCTTGCAAGCAAGACTGAGGTCACCGTCTATTGATGTTCTTTCCCATTGCTCTCCTATCCATTTGTTTTCTTTTCGTACTTCAACCCGGAAAATTACATGTTCTAGTTCGAAACCCGCAAACAAACCACTGGACCACCGTCTAGTGAATTTGCCCTGGAAAAGTTGCTTATATAAAGCTAAAGCTGGGGTTGATACCGTTCTTCGACGCTCAAAATGCTTGGGCTTTCTATGCGTTTCCTCTTACTGCCGTTATTCTTGCTACTTGCCTTGATTTTCTTTTTTGAATGAAATTGACATTGTATAAAATTATGACAACCAAAACCAAAATCACACTTCAAACCCCACAAGCCGCCTGTGGTGTCACAAAAATGCTTGCTTTCTTAGAAAAAATGCCACACCCATTCACCAACATCCAACATTACCCAAAGAGCGGCCAAAACATCAGCTCCATGAAGGAAATGTTGGGGAATAGGCTCAAACTCTACAATTTAAAAATGCCTACTTGCAACAAAACAACTTGCTTTCCCAACGATTTAGTACAGCTAAATCAACGATAAACATGTCAAAAAAAGCAGGACTAAGAACATGCGGGCACACGTTCAAGCAATCTTTTAATATGTCCATCCTAAAGTGCACACAAACTTCACATACCAAATTTTTATTCATGGAGGCCACAACATGGGCGATGCCCACCCGCACAAACGGCAAACCAGGAGGAGCCTGTAACCGCGCCAGCCGCAACCGCAGGAGGCAGCCCAGGACTCAGCGAGGACAAGGCGTGTCAGGAACAACTGGTCACTCTCTTATCTCTCTTGCTGAAAAAACCGTAGAGATAAAGAATAAGCTCCAGGATCTTCCCACGCGGTAGCAAGTCCACGCCAGGCTGCCCCACTTGGCATGAACAAGAAGACGCTGGTACTGCGGACTCTGCACCCTGTCCAAGCCACAAGTGTAATAACAAGCGTTGGGGCAATCCAAGGAAACCTTCCTTCATTTAGTTTTTTGCGGAGCATCTTCAATTTACATTGCCTTCAATCAGAAAGGGCAAAGCCATGCCTGCTAGAAATGGATCTGAGTTCGAACAACGCCTGATGTAAATGAAACTCAGACAACCCCGGTCATTGACAGAATCCACTTGCAATGTGGCCCTCCCCACCTGTGCAAGAAGTTGCTTCGTGAAAGCCAGCTCTTCCTGCCAGACTCCGTTGTTCATCCCTAGTTAGCTGTATTCTTCGCCCATGGAACACGAAATGATTTCATGGTCGTTCCCTACAAAATTAAAATGAAGCTGGTGCCAAAACAAAAGTCTTTCATGAAACTTTTCCAAGCCTGGCATTGATAAAGGTTGCAACCTCGCAACGGTCCTCCAAAAGTCCGTTCTCACGAGCTGCTTCCCACAAAACGGCAATGTGTCCGTCCTGGATTCAACCCGCTCGCAAAACGACATCCGAACGCAGTCAAGACATCGAAAACTGAAAGGAAACCTGACATGGACATCGAAAAATGATGTTCCCCCTTCGCTTTTTTTCATTGGGAATCATAGGGCTCGAGAATAGCTTAGTCATAGGAAGACCCCGAGGTCGAGCGCCCATCGCGGCACGCCATGGCAAATGCCCCAATTGCTTGGGGTACGTCCGCCAAGACGCCGACAACTACCTGCACTGGATGCATATGTTATGGTGTCTTGATGTCAAGATCCTTGTGCGAATCACAGAGTTGAACAGTTCCGCCACCTATGCGCAAAACAACAACGGCCAACTCCGGAATCTACCAGGATTAGATGCTGTGAGATATGAGTGACAGTGGTTTGTTGAAAGGTGGACAGTGGGGATACCGCACGGTCCTCACTAAAATACCTTGTCAGATGTGGCCCATTACGCGATGCTCGGCGATGATTCAGGCTGCATGCATGAAGCAGCCGGAGTTGGAAATCCCCGATTGTGGCAGCTTTTTTATCAGAGCTGAAAGGCTGTGATGGAGGCAGGGGAAGATAGGTGCGCGCGCAAGAACCCCATGCCAAGTGGTATGAACATGGAAGTGAAGCACGCGCGTGTGTGTGTGTGTGCACGATGCGTAGCAGGAAGTGTCTCAGGTCAGAAAGGGTAAGTGGCGAGAGTGGTAGCCAGATTTGGAGTGTGCTTGGCGCACGCTTGTCTCCGTGGGCATGGGATGAAACAAATTTTCTGGCCAGAATGTGAGTCGTCCTCCTTTGTACGCAACGACGGTACAATGGTGGCGTGTAAGTCTGTGTTGGTCACTTGGACTCCGTGGTAACAGGCAATGTTGACTGTACAGTTTAGCTTGCTTTGTTTTTCTGCCGACAATTTTTGCTTTTGTTCACGGCCAGTTTGTCTGATGTTGGCCGGTGTGCTAGCCTCCCTTATAAGTCTGGAACCCTCGACGCATTCCTGTCGGTTTCCCAATTGAGGATGTATCCGATAAAGTTTGCGCAGGGCTGGGCTGAACAAGTTTTGGGGTGCACCTTTGTCCCAAGGCACCGTCCTGTGGGGGTGCAGATTGCATGTAATTCGTAATTAAAGCTGCTACAGGCTCGACCGTCAGCGCTACGAAAAATGAATTGGGAATCATTGCTTTTGGCCCTCAAAGCGATTCCTGCCCCTTACCAGATTTCTGCCCGTGGTGCTTTGGATTCGTGAAATAACGGCAGGAGGACGCCCATGGCTCTTAAATACTTATATCATCTTATATCTCTTGCCTCTTCCTTGAGATGATCACAGATTAGCCATAGATACATGTAAGTCCTTACCAAAGCAACCAGCCCCACAAATCATCAAACTTCTTGCGCGGGCTCTGCCAAAAGAAAACTCCAATCCAGAACCACGCCCACCACTGAGCAACGAGTTGAAGGCCCTGACAGGTCGTCGGGACCTGCTAGCTGCGCATCCCTTCTGTAGACTTTGTTCCGATGCGCAAAGGGCTGACGAAGATGGAGCCTTGACGGCTGGACCACCGAGGTCCTCTGGAAGGTCCAGCTGGATCGAGCGCATATGGAAACCCGCGGTTTCGCCAGCCAGGGCTGAGTTTGAGTTGTGAAGCTGTGACAGATGGCCCCAGATTCCTCGAGGTTTCCCAAAGGACGGAAGAAAGAAGGCTCGAATCGAGAAGAACCCTGACGATGGACTGCACAACACCACATAGACCGTGTTTGGTGAGCCAATGGTAGGTGAGGCGTTTGGAGATGCCACCCTACCGGAGCGAGCGCCCAAAGCCCTAACAACCAGCTTTCCAAGCACGCTCGGTGCGAGAACGGGGCTCAAGACGAGAGGAAAACAGCCCACGAACAGACCCAGAAGGAAGCCAGCCATTAAAGCTCTCCACATTCTTGACCACTCCAACCAAGCGGCCATGAAGCAGGCTGCCAAGCAAACTGTAGAGGAACCTGCTTCTCTCCTGCTCTGGCTTGCTCATGGGGTCCCAGTCCACCTCATTGGTCATGTTGCTCTCAATTCGCTCGATCTCCTCTTGGAAACTTCCATCAACCACCACGAGGTACTGCTTCATGCTGCAGTACCAATCCCCCGCCATTGTAAGACTTCTTGTTCTCGATCGGTGGGCGAGAACGAGCTTGAGACAACTCCGGGACTCCTGCCATGCCAGCTGCCAGGGCGTAGGCATCTTGGCCTCCTGAGCCATCCATCGTAGTTTGAAGTCACCCTCTATGGTCTCCACAACCTCGTACTTGTCCTGGATGTAGGGCCACTTCCAAACCTCCTCAGGGAAAACCTCCAAATCTACCGTAGGCAAAGGTGTACTCGAAGGTGGTCACCTCCTATGGCTCTACCACCTAGGAAAAAGCTCGGTCCGCTGGAGCGCTTGTGGCTCCGCTACCATGCGGACATTTTCTCAAGCATGAAAAGGCCTCGAAAGTACACTTCTCGTTTGTGCGTGTCATCCTGGCTCTTGTTTTGCAGTAATGTATGTAATGTGCTGTAATGTACTGTACTGTGACGTGACGTGATGTGATGTAATGTAATGTAATGTAACGCAATGCAACGCAATGCAATGCAATGCATGTATGTATGATGTATAGTGACACGGCAAAACTTAGAAGAAGAAAACTTACTTCAGAAAGCCACACTATTTGAGAACATCCAAGTAGCACATAAGCACATGTCCGAAACAAGGCATCACATAACATCCGGAACATCCACTCAGAACATCACCGCCGCTATGAATGTCACCCTTATGATCTAAATGCATGTTTGTCCCAAGGCCCAAGCTCCTTTGCCTTTTTCTCCGTGACCCGGTCATATGTATATGTCGACTCCAAAACATATACCAAGCCGGATCTATATTATATCAGCGCACTGTACAAGTAACGCCAAACTGCGAGCTATGGTACCAGAACTCCCTCAAACATGAACAACACCTCATCAAAAAGACTCCATGCAGTGCACATGGCTTAGAACCTCAGCTGGATGCCCGGCACTATACACCCCTTAAATATATATATATGTATATACATCTTCAGGTTGGTATGGTACATGTTCTATGTGACATTTTCTGCAGGAGAATAAACGATGTTCTAAGTGTTCTGCACCCATACAGATTCTAAATTCATGTGTGTTGTGAATGTTCTAAGCACACGTTGGTTTGATATTCCAACTTCAAAAACTTAGAACATCTGAGCTGCAGAACTTCTTTCCAAACAAGGTTCTAAGTTTCGCCTTCTAAGTTTCACCTCCTCACTTCAATGTATATTATGTGATGTGATGTGATGTGATGCGATGCGATGTGATGTGATGGATGGATGGATAGACACATGGGTATCCAGATAACGCCGACCATGGGCAGGTTGGGTTGTCAGGCCCGAGCACTTCTTCCATCGCCCGTAAAGTGGAGCTGCAATGTATACACTTTTAAGCAAGTGTTCTATCTTGGAAGCAGGGAACTGCCAAACAATTGGTGTGCATGTGTACTCTAGTTACTTGCAGCACTCTAGTAGATGTTTAGTCTTCAGCGTGTGCGTGTGCGGTTTGCGTGTGCGTGTACGTGTGTGAATGTACGTGTGGATGTGTGTTTGTGTCTTTCGGGAGGTCCCCAGGAACGGACGTCACAAAAGCCAAAGGAGCAGCGAGGACACGGTGCAGCGAGGCAGGTGCAGCATGGTGCAGCGCTGCGGAAAAAAGGTGAACACCGCTCCTTTCGTCCTACTTCCCGTGTGGCTAGGTAGAACATCGCTCGCCTAGCATCTTGCCAAGTTTGTCAGGATGTCAATTGTTAGTCTCCTCTCGCAAATGGAACCACCTGTCCTCCTGCCAAGACCCATTTGGCACCTAAAGCATCGGCTAACTGGCCTCCCAGGAGCTGCGTGCCAGCATAGCCTGACCAGCGGGTCCCACTGGTGATTCAAACCGATTCAGACCAGTCAAAAAGCGCACGCCAGCTTCTCATGGATTGACTTGTTTGAAGCAACAAAGGAATTTCTAGAAAAGCCCTGAGGGGCGCTCTTTGCACTGTTTTCTCGCGCACCTCCGAAGAAGGCAGAAAGCACGGTCCCTTCAAACGCCTGCCAATGCGGAGAGTCTGACTTTCTTGCTCCTGAGGACTTGTGATTCTGAAAAAAATTCAATTATGTACAACTCCGACTTGTGCCAGCATCTGGCAGTCGGTCTGGCCGGTCGGTCATGGCCGGTCGGTTTTCTGTCTTCAGTTCCACGCCTTGTCCCACTGAAAGTCTGCCGCCATACCAATGATGGCAATGGAGATATTGGATCGATCCTTGAGGGAGGATAGTCTCTCCCAACCGCCCAACACGTGTTCAACGCGTCACGTGAACGGGCGCGTAACGGGCTTCGGCGGCGACCGGTAAGTAGTGGATGAAGTCACTTGGGTCCTAGTTGGGTGGCAGGCCGACATCTCTGGTGATTCTGAGAAGGTTTTTATGAGAACATGTCTTCCAGTTCTTCGATATGTTGATGAATTCCCACCTCTGGCTAAAGAAAGAAAAACAACAAAGTGGTGGAAACGGCACAGTTTAGGGCTGGTGAGCTCTGAAAATCAACCGTCAACGATTCCTTGCCTAATTCAAGTTCACACATGAGTGGATGCGATAGACCTAAAGCCATGCAACATCCCTTCGCAAGGCAGCCAGGAATCTGCATAGCTGATCATAATGCCAAGTGCACACAACAGCACGATGACCTCCCATCCTTCCCGGCCGTCTTCACGATCAACATCAGCCTTGCAACGATTGGAAGAAGCCTCTGCATCCAAACAACGGCAACTTCAGAATCCACCAAACGTGGGCAACATGTCTGAAAAAAAAGAAAAACTCATGAAGAAGAAACAGATCCCTGACACGTCTCATCGATTCAAAACCTGCTTGGACAGGACATGTCCGCTCTCCCGACCTCTGCCTGCGTGTCCGACATGTCCTCGGCCCCGAAGTGGGTGGACACCCGGACGTCCCTGGCGGCATGGCATGGAAAACGGGTGGACGAGACGGTCAACCCGGAACTTCACTGTTTCGGGTCCATGAAGAGACGCCAAAAAAGACATCTTCTCCAGAGTCGCTGCATCTGTCAGCTTCCAAAAAATAGTTGGGCACTCAAAAGCTATCCTTCTATCCTTCGCTGCTGGTCCCCAAGAGCTTGCGATTTGTGAGACCGATCCCAAAGATAGGAGGTCTTTGTGGACGTCGAGTCTGTGGGGAGGGCTTTGGTCCGAACGTTGTCATCGTCAAACCGCCCACGGTCTGAGGGACACATGCTCCAGATGCTCGGTCCACCCTGCTCCACCCACTCCTCTTGCAGTTGAACAGCCGCGACCCCGCGGACCGTGGTCGGTACGCCGCCCAGGTCAGCGCGAAGGTTGGCAGCCAGGGCTCCTGGTGTTGCAACCAGGCGACCCGAACCGCGACGGAATCTTCTGTGCGACGAACGGAGACGGAACCGAGTGAAGGAATGTTCAGGGCTGGATCCTGTTTCGGTGTGAAGTTTAATGACTCCCTTGTTCTCTACTACGCACCAGTCAGAAGAATAAGGGAATGACTAGGGACGCATTTCACACATTGGTACACAGCTTTTTCTCGGTAAAAAGAAAAAGAACATGTCCTGTTCAAACCAGGGGCACTAAGCCAGGAACAGCATTATTCTTTCAAACTTCAGGCATTGTGAGACTTGATGAGCTTCATTGGATTCTGGTGCTCCGGATCAGCAAGGTTTTGTGAGATTCCCCACCTCCATCCCTTGTTGTCCGTCTCTCATACCTGTAAGTGAACCATGAACAGAAAGTCTGGTGAATCAGTATGGTGCGATTGTACATATTATCAAAGAACATCTAGATCAAACGAGACCCGCCCACCCATCGGCACCATCGGCATGTAATGTCATCGACTTGCGTGAATGCATTTTTTTGGATCTTGTATGAGGCCACAATGGTCTACAACAAAGAACGAGTATACAGCCTCTCCTTGCTCACAGCAGCAACAACAGCAAGACAAATGAAGAAGAAGACCTGGGCCAGAACACCTCTTGTGCCAGAACACCTCTTGTGCCAGAACACCTCTTGCTCTTGTTCCCTGCTAGAATTATTACACACTGTTCCTGAAACCACCAACTGCAACTTTTCCGCCTGACATGCAAGTGTCAAGGTTCAATTAATCCATGGATTCAGACATTCTGGACAGATCTTCGGCTAAACTGGATGATGTTCCGACTTTGACGACCAAGAATGGATTTACATGTCAGTCTCCACTACCTCCAGTCTTCATGCCACGACGCCAGCGCGCTCCGCGCGCGCAGCCACACACGTAGCCGTGTCAGCGCTGTGGTCCGGTAGCCCATGGTGGGCGCGGGGCGCATGGGGTCGTGTAGGCAGTGGGCCATGCGGCCGCAGTCAGTGCCAACTATTGACAACAAATAAGTTCAACAACAATGAGGAAACGCCAGTTGTTTTTCTGGCAAGACCAAATCCATCCAAATTGAGGGGTTGACACAGTATCACGGGGACCTCTCCTACGGACCGTGGAAATGTCCGTGTCCAACATTGGGTTGGACTCCCTGTTTGGGGGCTGTAAGAATTGGAAAGTAGAATCACCTCGGTTTATCCAGGAGTGCTGGAGTTGAGACATTCTGTAGTCCCGCTCGTGCCCAGGGTGCGAGTGACTTTGAAGATCTTTCTGAAAAAGTGCAGCTGAACACATTAGTCCCAGGTCTGTGTTTGCAGCTTGACCAGAGAATTGAGGTTTTCGAGCAAATGGGCGGGATGTGAAGGATTTCGACAGATCGCAAGGAGATTTAGGAACCTAAACCGTTTTCAAGGGAAAGGAGCTCTTCTTCTCGCGTTCTGAGAAGTTGTCAGGCATCATTCCTTTTCTGACTCCCCATCATACAACAAGTGAAACTTGGAAACCCCACTGTATCCACTTGTACATCGTTCCAAACTAACCTAGAAGCTCATCAATATCTAACAAAGCAAGTTGATTGACAACGAAATGGGTGCGGTGTCCAAGCACAAGGACAACACTCAGAACCGAGACGACAGGGCGCATCAACTAATCGACTCCATGATCTCAATTGGTCGACTCTATGATCTCAACTGGTACAGTAGACTATATATGTATAATGGTTCTCTTCAACGTGTACCAATGTCGGGCAACTCCGAGCTTTGCTGGCCTCCACTCGCCAGGAGTACTGCACGCCCTCCTGAAGATCTCCGGGTGGATGGGGTCCATCAGTGGATGGGGTGGAGAGCACCTCAAAGGGGAAGGAAAAAATGGAACAAGCATCTCAGGATCACCCCCATGGTCTTTCTCTAGTGGCTCTTTGCGACATCCTCCAACATCTGAGACTCAAGGCGCGACTGCACTATGCTGCATGCTGATGGATCGTATTCATGCCGTATTTGGAGTAGCACAGCCTCAAATACTTCACCCTGCTAGCCGCTGCTAGCCGATCCACCGATGCCCCGCACTGTACACTGGCCGATGAAACCGTCATCTTGCCGGTGTGCTTGGCACGACCACTCGAGCCATTCTGGAAAAAAGAACAGCCCATGAAGTGAGAGCTTCCACAGAAGCCTTGCAGGGTCCAGTCTCGACCCAGCTGTTGCCAGGAACGACGCCCTGCTCCTGATGCTGTGAGGATCCTGTGCACCTTCGACCGTCGTAGCAAAGGCACTCCGGAGTGCCGGAGCATCTGCGCCATGAGAATCTCCATCAACGAGTTGCGCGCGAGGATCATTTGCACCAAGTCGACCAGGCCACCAAAAACCTTTTGTTCACTTCAATGTGCAGTCCCTTTGATCACTGGATCTTCTTCGGCCGCCCGCCTTGTGCATACAAGGCCATGGAGGCGGCCTTAGATTCGGGGAGGCCATGACGTGGTTTGGCCATGGCAGGTACAACATCATTATATCTGTGAGAACATCCTTTCTAATCTTAGCCCAATGCAATTCTTATGAACCTGTACGGCTGATCTATGAAAGGCCAGACTCACAGCTTGTCTAAAGTTTCTCTCAAGCCAGCCATGAATACCACCTCGTGGCATCTAACACGACATACGGCAGACACCTTCCGAAGTGATGCACCCAGCGACACAAATGCTGGAACCCAGGTAGAACTGCCACGGAGGCCACAGTCGAAGCACCACAGCAGACATCGCCGCAGTGGTGAAGACGGACACACTAAAGACATAGTTCTTTGCCTGGGGGGAGGTTGGGAAGGTTTGGTAGTCTAGCAGTTCGTCCCACAGAAGCTGCTTACTTGGTTTTCTTGAAGGGATTCCAATACAAGGCGGTTTGTGGCTCTGAAGCATGGTTTGACATAGGAGGCCGAGTTGTTAATCTGTCTTTCTCGAAGTCAGCACTATCTTTCCACGACATTGCCAAGCTATGTTGGGATCCCGGTAAAATCCCCCTGAACACTGCAAAAGTCCTTCTTGTGGAAACCCAAGCTCTTCATCCTAGACATCATTCGCTGCGCCAACTGCTCAACTAGGGCGCGATGGCATCGATGCGCTTCATCAACAGCGAGATCAGAATGCCGTTCAGTGCCTCGTTGCTGAGGGCCACAAAGTCAGACCTGAGATCTGCATCCACCAGGAGAAAGAGAAAACAAGTGGCTGGCTGGGTGGATCCCAAGAGCCTCAGTCCAGCCTCAGTGCATTTTTGAGCCATTTTGTGAAAGCTGCATAGATCAAGATGATGCGGATGCGATTCATTTGATTCATGAGAGAGTCTTCCAAATGACCACGGTCTTTCAGAGACCCTTGTAGGCCCTCAGCCTTCAAGAACAAAACCACACTCTCCTGAAGATTGGCTGGAAAAATTGTGTATTGGCACATTCCTCAAAATGTTCTTCCCATCAGTTTCAGAAGCTCATGCAGCAACTGCACTTTGATGAATCAACATCCAATGCCAACTTTGGGAGGACACGGTAGTCAGTCGCCATCACTTGTTGTAGGTGTTTCCAAGTTCTTCCTGCACTTCATCTTCTGAATCTCCTAAACTCTACCAGCATCCTGAACCGAACCTGCCGCACTATCTTCTGCGTTCAGCGCTGCGCCACGTGGCATCTGCAGGAGCTCTAGGCGAGGCAACTCTGCTGAGGTCACCAGAGAAAGCGCCGAGGCATTCATTGAAAGGCTATGAAGGGCCATGTGCCTCGGCATTCGGTGTCGGTTTGAACTTCAGGTGTTCCACAAATGTAAGAAGAGAAATACATCCACTGCATAGTAGATCCAAACAATACCTTTGGTCATATAGGTTTTGGAAGTAGGCAAACCCAGTCATCAACAGTCCAGGTGTTTGGAGGCAAGTTCACAGGGTGTTTACATCCAAGAGATCAAAAAGAAGCACAAGTTGGGGCTTCCACCTGGCGAAATGCTCAGCACGGTTTTTCCTCACACAGCCAAACCGAAGGCACTGTCTATGAAACAACACACCCGAACCGTATGACACCTCAAAGTCCCTTCAGGAAGCGAAGTAAAGAGAAAAACACTTTACACAGGTCCGAGGTCTCACACCGCAGGTCTCAGCATTTTCTCCACCTCACACCAAGCAAAAACACTCAGAAAGCCCCGCAAAACAGGGAGTTTTCTCGGGTCTCCACATCCCCGCCAGATCCCCAGCGTCCTTCTGTGCCAGATCCCAGTGGCAGGTTGGTCGCAAAGATGGTGAGCTCCCCACTGCTGCGCTGCTTCAACGCTCGCTCGGTGAGCACGCCGCCCAGCCTCGAAAAGCGCTTCGGACGTGGTCACCGGCGAACGGATCGGGTGGCCCAGTGTGGGGGAGAGACTGGAGAGGGAGTCGGTTGGGGGAGTCGTTTTTGCGACCCACCATTGTTCGCACCGGAATTTGGAAGAAAGATTTGGAGCACTCGAATTGAGTTTCGGAACCCTTGGAGGGTGACCATGTCTGGACTTTTGGACTCAAGAAACATTGAGGAAGCAGAACCCCCCGAACCACTGATGCGACAAACTGACAGCCCCTTTTGGCTTGAGGCTCTGACGATGAAAGGGTGCAGTTGAAGAGCATCAAAGCAACACCGAGCAGAGGCACCTCAGTCAAGCTCTTCACACGAGTTTTGCTGAGTTTGGGGAGGCTGGGATGGTGTGACGGTCTTGGGTTATATACGTCGAACTCTTTCACGTCACGATAGCTGACAATGGACTGCGAACAGATACCAAGCTTTGATGGTTTCAATACCAACCCGGTGATGACGTGCAGGTCCGTGGTGGTCTGCGAGAGGTTAGCGCATGAAATCGTGGGTGTGCGAAAAGAGGGCAAAGCCTTTCTGTGGAGAAATTGAACTTTTGGCTTCGGTGGCGTCTCTCTCTCTCTCTCTCTGTATCTATATCTCTCTTCCTTTCTCGAGTAGTACAGTTTAAATATGTTTAAATGTCTGTATGATTAATTTTTACAAGCATTGCATAGCAAACATCTATCTGCTTTACATCCGTTTCTTCACATTCGTCCAACCCGGCTTCGAACCACCGGAAAACCAGGTGGTTCGACCACTCACGTCAGGCCCCGCCTCTGACACTTCACCGCTCTCCATGGTGCTCTTTCCTCGGCCCCCCACGGCCACGCCTCACGCATCGCGAAACAGACGGAGCGAGAGATGAAGACGGGAGAGAGTTTGAGGTCTGCAAGGTCAGAACCGTGAAGTGAAACTGGAAGAGGGATGTCTGGGATGACTGGAGGGAAAATGGAAGACACGGTTCATCCGATGGTTTTTTCCCGTGTTCTGCAAAGCAGATTGGATGACACGGTTTCATCCAGCTAAGTCAATGCCAACAAGGGGCACCGGGCAAGCCGTAAGATTAAACACAAGGCAAGCCGGATAGAACCTGCGTGTTAGCCCAAACTGCTGCTATGGCTCCGTCAACCCCAATGTCACTTCCCTAAGAAAACTGTTGCTTTTTTTGCTGCCAAGGTTTCCGCTGCAAATATGTCTGGAGATTTGTTCATGGGAGTTATGGCCAGCATTCACGGACTTCTAACAGCATCAGGCAATCGCCTACGGTCAAAAGCACCAGGGCCAGCCATTGCAGAGGCTCCAGCTTCCTCAGTAAGGCAGATCAAAAATCCTACAATGTTCAAGGATTGCAGGACGTCCAAAAGAGTTGCATATATACAAATGTACACAGGTTGTAACTATTTCCGAACTGCGAGGCATAGGGATCCTCAGCCATGGTAAAAACTTGCAGATCGCAGCAGGTTCGGGAGTTCCGGAGCAGGTGCCGGAGCAGGTGTCAGAGCAAGTTCCGGAGGAGGTTCCGGAGCAGGTTGTGGAGGAGGTTGCGATGCATGTGTGGAACAAGTTCCGGAGTGCTGGAACAGCTTCGCAGGAATTTTGCAGATATGTTGACCTGCTGTCATGCTGACATTGTCATGGCACGCTGTCATGCTGACACGTTGCCATGCCGGCAGGCTACCATGCTGATCTGGTGTGGGTTATCATGTCGATATTCTAACATAATGTTGTCACTCTGTGAAGCTAAATTGCAAACTGGATGTTCTGCAGACGTGCAGTCTTTGCTAACGTGCTGAGCCACGATGATATGCTGCCATGGTGTCATGTTCGTGCGTTGTATAAAATGCTGTCATGCGGACGTGTAGATACACTAGTGCGCGGTCATGCCGATATGCTGGCACGGTGTCTTGCCGACATGTTGTCAGGCTGTCATGCTATGCTTTCACGCTGGCACGCTGACACATGTCACATTAACATGTTGACGCGTTGTCTCGCTGAGATGCTGACGTCGGGTGATGCTGCCGTGCTGATATGCTGGCGGCGTTGTTACACTTGCGCATATGTGGGCACATGTGCTATGCTGCCATGCCGAAATATTGCCATGTTGCGATGCTTGCATGGCATGTTGAAACGGCTCACATGTCTTCTGGCAAAGACATCACTTGTTCAAAACTCGTGATGTGGCCATTGGCTATTAATAGGCAGATTCTTGCCCAGCTGTTGATGATTTTTCTTGGGCTTATCATATCCAAAACATTCAAAGGCTGTAGCAGTTCCAAGACTTGTGCGTGCAAATGTGTTTGTTTAATTGTGTAAAAGCCCAACTGTGTCAGGGCATCGGACCATCAAAGTCTGGTGGTTAGTCTACAGAGAAGGAACATAGAGAGTGCAAGTGCACAAGCCAAACAATGCATCCTGACCCACTGCAGCCCTTTCTCTCCCTGATGGAACACGTTTTATGCTGGAGCACGCGCTCGCACTCTTGCGCATCCACAAGACTGACCCCTACTGGTTCACAGTGGGTGGACATTTCTGGATGGTGGTAATCCCCACTGGTCACCACCCATTCCGCTGGGGGCCGAAACGATCGTAGCTTGTTGGACCTCACCACCCTGTCAACCAGGTGGCTTGGACATCACGATGCGCGAGGCAATGGCTGTGATGAGAATCCTCGGTGTCGAGGGAATTTTTCATTGGAGACCGAAGAAAAGGCCCCCAGGAAGTGCTTGAAACCTAGATCCAACAATGGCTGGACCGTATTGAAATAGGGAGACCACCAACGAAAACACTAGCTGTTTATTGTCCTTCTTCCGTGGGGTCAAACTGGAAGATCTCCCTGTTTAAGTACACACTCATTTGTGCATGGCCTCTTCTCGCTGTCGCTACTTAAGCAATTGCATGGTCTGAACACCAACGTCTGTGGCCTCTTTTGGGGTCTCCAGACACATTGCTTTCCTTTCGGGGTCTACTGACTGATAGCCTCTCTTCACCAAGGATCTTGATGGAGGCGATGAGTTGCAGCATCGGAGGCTGCCTGGCGGCATCGGCGGTAAGCCGAAGAGGGAGGCCTTCGGATCTCCGCGGCTTGGCAGTGGGAAAAAAACGTCATGGCTTTACTGCCAGCTTCCAAGCATCTCCCGCTTGTTGACCAAATTGGCCATGCTCTTGCGCTGAGGTTCCCCACAACAAGCGGGCAGCAATCACTGTGAGCACATTCATCAGGAGGTACACCGCAGCGGGCAATGCAAAGGAGGCCTCAAAAGCAAAACATGCCATTTCAAACTCCGGCACGTCTGCACGGCGTGCCCGTGATTCTAGTTTGCAAGCTGACACCGAGATAGTACGAGGTCGGTACAAAAACGTGTCTGTAAGTTGCAGATCCTTGAGCCATCATTGAAGCCTCGAAAAAGACATGTTTCAGGGATTCTTCAGTTGATCCAGACAGAGTTTAAAGACTTCATCGCCTGCCGATGCATCGCCTGCCACGATACACCTGCCCTGCTTGTTGGGACAACGAAAGCATGCCTACACCACCTTAAGGCTGGCGTGCCAGCAGTTGGAATGACGGCCATGCATTAATGTAGATTCAAAGGTCAGACTTCGGTAGATTCCAACTGTTCAAATGTACGATCACTGCGTTTCGTTTGTGAGCCTCCCATCGAGCGATCGCAGAGTTTGAATTCATGGGTCCGCAGCTCGAGAGTTGCGTGGAGCGACTGCAGAGCAGAGTTGTATTGGTGCTCCAGCCACCCCAGTGGCCCAAAAC